GTTTAAATACAGTGGTCCACAAATGTATTGTCCCATTGCCATCCAAAAGTTTCTTTCGTATGAAAATCTTGCAAAATAACGATATTCCCAAAAAGTGTAGGGTATTTTGCTTACCCATAATACTCTACTTTTCAGGATTATAAGATTTATCCGTATACATTGCAGAAAAATTTAAGTATAAAACAAAAACAATAAGTTACTTAACAAATAGCTCCACAAAAAGTAATGTCCCATTGATGTTTTCCCTTGGATTACTCTTTTTATTTCCGCGTTCTATGAACATTAAATGTATTTAATTTTATTATTTAGATGGTTGGCAAGAAAAACCTTGACACTCCGAATCGCCAAGGCCCGGGAAAATGGGATGAGGAAAGGATGTGGCTAACCTCTTTAATTGCTCTCGAGAAGGACGGTGTGCCGCATCCTTTCCTCAATCAAAAGTCGACCGAACCTTCATCGAGTATCTCCCGCGTACGACTCCACCGGGCCCGCCAAACCACAAAAGAAGATCGAGCCGTGATCCAAATGGTGAAAAACGATCCTAACAAAACACCAAACCGATGGAAGCCAACGATGAGGGATCAATTTAACAGGGTTGTACTGCCGGAAACGATCAGAAACGATTAAATCAAGCTGGATTATATGCAAGAAGGGCTGCCCGTAAATCTCTGATAAAAATCTAAGCACCGGAAGCAGCGCCTCACTTTGCACGGACCTACCGGAAGTTGGACGGAACGTCTTTAGGCGAAAGTGCTATTTAATGATGAGACAAAATCAATTTATTTCACGCGGATGGAAATCCATCTCATTCGGCGACCGACTGGAAAGCGATACGCACTCAAGTACATCTACCACCGTGAAAATTCAACGGTGGAAGCCCACATAACGTGTTGGGGTAAGAACCTTTAGCATTTTGTCACCCGACTGGGTTTTCTTTAGGAGCTGATGTCATGAACTTCACAGTAGTCCATTAGTTCACGTCAACTCAACGATGGATGCTGTGGCCTACAAGAACATTATGGAGACTCAAAAATGCTTCCTTTTGCAACTCAAACCATGCCTCTTGGATGGATGTCACTTTCAGGACAATGGACCCGAAACACAAGTCGAGACTGATGATGGGACGGCTGGTGACATCTCAAAATGGTACGGGAGCCTCGTCTGCCCGGATGGTTTGGTGGCAAATCGTGTTAAATTGATCAATCCACCTCCCTACTCACCGGATCTCAATCCAATTGAACATTTGTGGTCATTTTGCAGTCGCGCCCCTCAAGGAAAAAGAAATTGATTCCGAAGGCCGCCTTATGGGTTCACATTCAACGTCTTCGGGCCACCATCCGCCCGCTAAGTCTTTTGAAAATCTCGTGGATTCCATGCCGGATCGACTCAATGAAGGATAAAAGCAAAAGGGAGGGACCAGGCAAATATCAATTCTTGGAAAAATTGTTAATTCTTTTGCAAATGGACACATTTTTGTGGAGCTATTTGTTAAGTAACTTGGCTGTTTTGTTTATACTTTCTAAATTTTTCGGCAATGTATACGGATGTAAATCTTTATAATCCTTGAAAAGTAGAGTATTATGGGTAAACAAAATACCCTACACTTTTCGGGAATATCGTTATTTTGCAAGATTACACGAAAGAAACTTTTGATTGGCAATGGGACAATAAACATTTAGGGAACACTGTATCAAAAAAATAGCTGAAATTCAGGGCTATTTTTTGATATTTAAACGAGCATTGTAGCATAAACCAGTAACGAGAAAACTGTTCGTGCTAGATCACGCAACACTCCGCACCGTCATTAGGGGGCTGGGGTACTATTACAGTATTTACGGTATGTTTATTGTTGAAATTTGTCTCCACGGTGCTATAGTAGTTGGGGACAGTGACATTCATCTCTATTGAGCCAAAGGCACTAATTTTCGCTTCTACGGTTTTAATGACCTGGGATTTTAATTTGCTATTTATTTCGGGGAAAAATTATCCAGTTTTTTTAAGAACTCGGCGTGACTCACAATATAATGATACTCGGGAAAGATATTCAGTCGTGTTGCCTGACTATTTGTTTGCTGGAATTTATTTGTTCATTTAACGGGCTTTGAGCTAGCTTTGGCTTTCGTTTACCATAACAACCGGATCAACTCACCGACAAGCCCTCTCCCGAGCGGGTCGGCACCCCAGAAATTCCCTGAAGTTCAACTGGAGTTCACTAGAATGCCCAAGTGTTCAATGAAATTCCCATTTATCCACCCACCCAACCCGTTTCCATTTACTTCCTCGAACCCAGATGGAAATCCCTCGCCCGAATGCGCTAAAATGCCCGTCAAACAAATGATCGAGGAAGATGAACGCTTTGATGTGAGTTCTCGAGAAACTCTCTTCCGAACGGACTGGGCCCTGTAGTGTAAATGATTAGAAATCGGGGCTTTGAAGATATTTTTCACTGAGCTAACATCCCAGCCACTCTAAAGGTAATGTTTCCGGCTAGATCAAAGCAGGTTAAGCACGGCTGATAACCAGGCTAGGGCAACCAGATCAGGACGCCCAGGCTTGGACTTCTAGAATCTAAGCCAGACCAGACCCTGACTTGGTAAGGTAGTTGAAAATGGGTTATCGAACATTTGATATGCGTCCCGCCCCTTTGCCGAATCGGGAATCTAACTTTGAGCTGGCTCATCTTGGCGTTGGACTGTCTAATTCTAAATATTTTGATACCATTAGATACGCCAAGTATCTCTCATCGATTGGTATAAGAAAATATGCTACATTGAACGACCCAACACAAAGAAATTTAAGCTCAAAGTTAGCCAATGGCAAGCGCGTTCCCTTCAGTTCCAATACGGTTCCCTTTAAGGTCCCGAATACGGTTCCAATACGGTTCCCAATACGGATCCAATACGGTTCTAATACGGTTCCTTTTAAGGTCCGAATACGGTTCCAATACGGTTCCAAGGGGACAGGGCAACGAACCTTCGTAAAAGGTTCGTTGCCTGTATCCTTTTGCCAGTGCAATCTGACTTTGAGCTTAAATTTCTTGGTGTTGGGTCGTCCAATTCTAAATAGTTTTTGTACCAATCGATAGAGAAAGACTTGGCGCATCTAATGATACCAAGAAGATTGGAATGGAATAGCCCAACACCAAGAAATTTCCAGCTCAAAGTTGAATTGTCATTGGCAAAGGGACCAGGCATGTGTAAAAGGTCCCACAATCGAAAAAATTAGTCCATTTACGTATATTCTCTTGCAATCTAGCTATTCTCACCTCCTCTAATGCATCGAGTTTCTGTGGAACACTCTAAAAGTACTGTGCGTGTGTCCAAATGCCTAAACAGATAGCGGCAGCGATTATGAACAGGAAACCCCCGTTTCCATGTTCGATTCAGCCCAGATCACGGTGAATGCCTGGAAATTTGTTTCTTGCATAGTCAACGTCTTGCTGGCAAAAAAACGACCGTAATTCTGTAATAGTACCCCAAAGCCTATAATGACGGTGCGGAGTGTTGCGTAGTCTAGCTTTGAACGAGTTTTTCTCGACACTGGTTTAAGCTACAGTGCTCGTTTAAATATCAAAAATAGCCCTGAATTTCAGCTTTTATTTGATACCCAAACGAACACTGTAGCATAAACCAGTGTCGAGAAAAACGCGCTCAAAGCTATACTACGCGATGCTTCAACCGTCATTGTGGGGGTGGGGTACTATTACAGTATTTACGGTAAATCTTTAAGCTCACTTTAGCATCATTGCTCATAATATAGAAGAATTTGGCGAAGAAAACGACGAGCACAAGGACGAAGAGAAGCGTTGAGATGACGGCCCTGCCGGTGGCGCCGCGCTTTCGGCTTCGGCCCAGCTGAGAAAAACTTTTTGCTAATTCTATTGCTAATTCTATTGCTATTTATTGCTTTTTTGCTTTTTTGCTTTCATTAAGTTTATTTTGAGATTTTTACCTAAAAATGGACTCCTGTAAATCGCATCCACTCAAACGGACCATTTGCTCGAATGGGCCAAACACGTGAACCCTCGGCCGGAATTTCCCGTCCATCATTGGGGATTCTAAAATATTGCAAAGTTAGCACTATTTTCGAGTCTTTTCGTGTCTTTTCGAGTCTTTTCGATACTTTTCTTTATGTTTTCCCCAATTTCCCCAATTTTTTGTGCATTTTGTGCATTTTAGCGCTTAACTCAGGATTTTTTGTACATTTTAGCGATTAACTTGCTTAACTCGTTTAACTCGTTAAGCAACTCGCTTAAATTAAACAAAATTCACCTGGTGACTCCATTTCGTCAAATGTTTAAGGTGATTGAATGGAGAAAGCTTGTAATTAGTGCTTACAAAAAAAAGCTAATAGATATAGATTGATTTATGAATAGATATTCTGTAAATTAAACAGTAAAACGGGTAGCTCTTTCTATTGAAAAGATCAATTTTAGTTCGAGAATCGTTAGATCTTTATCGAAGAGCGTTTTTTTTTTTTTTTTGATCGAACAGACACTCAAATATCTCAATTTTCTTTTGACTAACAAGTTTAAAAAACGATTTTTGAGTTTATAAAGGCAAATTTAGCTTGGATTGAAAAGAAATTTCGTAGAGAAGTTTGGTGATTTCTCAAAGACTAAATCTATTGGGTTGGTGAATTGAAAACTGCGAGCTATTGTCATATGTGACAGTTTGAGCACTTTCTTCAAAAGAAACCCATTTTGGTGTCAATGGAAAAGTTGTAGAGAATCAAAAAACAAGCCTATATCCAAATATTCAGAACGATTCAAAAACTGGTTTTCAAGAAATACCAAATTTACGAATTTTCACAGATGAAACGACGGAAAAGGAGGGGGAGGGGGGGTTACGGTATCTGTCTGTCTTTCTGTCTGTCTTTCTGTCTGTCTTTCTGTCTGTCTTTCTGTCTGTCTTTCTGTCTGTCTTTCTGTCTGTCTTTCTGTCTGTCTTTCTGTCTGTCTTTCTGTCTGTCTTTCTGTCTGTCTTTCTGTCTGTCTTTCTGTCTGTCTTTCTGTCTGTCTTTCTGTATGTCTTTCTGTCTGTCTTTCTGTCTGTCTTTCTGTCTGTCTTTCTGTCTGTCTTTCTGCCTTACTGTACGGCTCTTTTTTTCATTTTTCAGCCGTATTTTGACCAATATTTGATTTTGCATGAATATTATATTTTAAGTTGTTTTTGGTGTCATTCGATGCGTTATTTCATCCTTCATCAAATGATCGTTAAAATAGTCGATATATTGGGTTGGTGAATTGAAAACTGCGGGCCATTGTCATATGTGACAGTTTGAGCACTTTCTTCAAAAGAAACCCATTTTGGTGTCAATGGAAAAGTTGTAGAGAACCAAAATCAAGCTTATATCCAGATTTCCAAAAAGATACACTTAGTAGTTTCGCTTAAAATTTGTGTGTTCTGTGTGTTCTTTATACGGCCGCGTAATCGCTCGTCGTCTGGCGTAGGGCTTTTACATAACCCCTTCCCTCTGCATTTGCCAAACTAATCTGGCCGGCTTCGAATCCTCAAATTGGACATTGACTTCTCCTCAAATCAAGGCTAATCTCAATCTATTGGATACGAAAACTACTGGAGACGCAAAAATGGAGGACTGGAGATGTCCCAGTGTCCCGGTTTGGCCCAAGATGTCCCAGTGTCCCAGTTTGAGCTCCAGGTGTCCCAGTCTTCAAAAGAAACCCATTTTGGTGTCAATGTAAAAGTTGTAGAGAATCAAAAATCAAACTTATATCCAAATTTTCAGAATGATTCAAAAACTGGTTTTCAAGAAATGCCAAATTTACGAAACTTTCAAAAAACTTGCATTTTAAACGAAACTACTAAGTGTATCTTTTTGGAAATTTGGCTATAAGCCTAATTTTTGATTCTCTACAACTTTTCTATTGACACCAAAATGGGTTTCTTTTGAAGAAAGTGCCCAAACTGGGACCTCTCCAGTCCTATTTTAGTTCAAAGTTCCGCAGTTTTCAATTCACCAACCCAATAAATCTAAACTAATCCAATTCCTATCCTATAGCCTCGAAAAATCATTTTACTGACTTTTAAACAAAGCAAAAATCAAAAACATACCAAGTTTAAGCTTCATTTCAAAGAAAAACAATAAAGTTATCAAGATAAAGAAAACGATTGAGCACATGAGATGGCTTTAGGGTGGAAATGGCGTTGATCTGGAGGGGAACAATGACTGGATTCGGAAGAGGAAAGAGGGAAAAAGAAGAGAAGAGAAATAACCAGTATTCACACATAGCAAAAGGGGAACAAGGGGAAAGAGTCAGACAATATACTTACAGATACTTTAGAAGAAGTATCCGTGTATGCATTTATGAATGTGTTTGCGTTGAATTGGCAAAACTGTTTGCAGAAAAGCGACCAATTATCGAGTTTTTGATCATCTTTGTTCTTTAAGAGTTAAAATTTAGTTTTTTTGAAGTCAAAGATAAGTCAATTCTGACTATTAGTGATAAAAAAGCATGCAAAATGATTCTAGAAGCTTATTACAATATAAAAATGATTCTAGAGGCTTATTACAATATAAAAATGATTCTAGAAGCTTATTACAATACAAAGATGGCTCTAGAGGCTTATTACAATACAAAAATTGTTCTAGAAGCTCATTACAATATAAAAATGATTCTAGAGGCTTATTACAATATAAAAATGATTCTAGAAGCTTATTACAATATAAAAATGATTCTAGAGGCTTATTACAATACAAAAGTTGTTCTAGAAGCTCATTACAATACAGAAATTGTTCTAGAGGGTCACTACGATACAAAAGTTGTTCTAAAGGCTTACTACAATACAAAAGTTGTTCTAGAAGCTCATTACAATACAAAAATCATCCTAGAGGCTTATTACAATACAAAAATGATTCTAGAGACAATTTTTTCGGACCAAGCTTAGGCTAGATTCTATCGGTTTTATTAATCTGACTACTAATACTAATCTCTTTCACTACTACTAATCTCTCGGATCCCTTTCAAACCCATCAAAATCCCTAGTAAACATTTGAAACAAAGATTCCCAAAAACTCACCGGGAATTTTGATCTCTCTCGACAACTCTTTCAGCGATCCTTCTCGAGTCACCGAGAAAAGATTCGACGTGTCGTAGTTGGTAGACATAAATGAGAAATGAGAGTGAAGAAGGGTTTAGTTTCGAATGTTTGAATGGATGGGCAAATCTGACAACAAGATTCGATTGACAAGTACAGTCAAAGTGGTAAACAGAGAGAAAATATAGAACCTTAATCTTTAGGCAATCGTTTTTACAATAGATACAATAGATAAAAGATGGGTGATAGGGTTTTGAGGTTGAAAAGATGATAAGGAATTTCCTAAACATTCAAATGTTTAGAAAATCAATAAGTTTAGGGGATTTAGAATGATTTAAAAGAAGAATGGTTTAAACAAAAAGAAAAGTGATTTAAACAAAAAGAAGAATGGTTTAAACAAAAAAGAAGAATGATTTAAACAAAAGAAGAATGGTTTAAACAAAAAAGAAGAATGGTTTAAATCAAAAGAAGAATGGTTTAAATCAAAAGAAGAATGGTTTAAACAAAAAGAAGAATGGTTTAAATCAAAAGAAGAATGGTTTAAATCAAAAGAAGAATGATTTAAACAAAAAGAAGAATGGTTTAAATCAAAAGAAGAATGGTTTAAATCAAAAGAAGAATGGTTTAAACAAAAAAAGAATGGTTTAAACCAAAAGAAGAATGGTTTTTACGAGTTAGAATAGAATAGAAATCGTTTCAGAGTTCAAGTTCGGTTAGAAATCGGTTTTTAAATCAATCAACGACACTAGATTTGCCTTTTGTCGTGTCGTTGTCGTGTTTTGCCTACAAAACGGTTAAACGGTGCCTACAAAACGGTTAAACGTTACTCTTTTAGCGAGTAGAGTAGCTTTCCATTTTCAAAAGCAAAAAAGCACAAAGCAAATTACAAGCTGCGTGACTGTTTGAGCTAAATGTCTTTGAGATCGGAAAGAAAAAAGTACAAAGAATCTTGAGAGATCTCTTTGAGACATTCTAGCACAAGAAATGACATCCTTTTTTTTTTCTTTTAGTCGGCCTTTTTTCTAGAATGAGTCCACAAAGGATGTGCAATAGAAAGAAAAAAAATGGTTTTGTGTTGAAATCACTCAACATAATGCTTTAAAATTGATAAACAAGATAAATTCATTTAGAATTTACGCAAACGAGCAAACGAGTAAACGAGTAAACGCAAATTTTCTAACAAAGGAATGATAAGTGGGCAAGGTGGCCAAATGACATCACCAATGAACAGGATTTCCAAAGTTACCCCCCAAAATGATACAATCGAACAATCGAATTTTTACGAATCACTTCTTTATATGAGATTTCAAAATCATCTTACTAACAATGTTAATAGTTTAAAAGTAAACATTTCTTTGAGAAGTAGCTTTAAAAGATTTTCATTTGAAATGGAGACATTTGAAATGGAGATCAATCTAGAAAGAGCTTGATCTAAAAGAGATTGATCTAGAAAGAGCTTGATCTAGAAAGAGCTTGATCTAAAAATAGCTTGATCTAGAAAGAGCTTGATCTAGAAAGAGATTGATCTAGAAAGAGATTGATCTAGAAAGAGATTGATCTAGAAAGAGCTTTATCTAGAAAGTGCTTGATCTAGAAAGTGCTTGATCTAGAAAGAGCTTGATCTAAAAATAGCTTGATCTAGAAAGAGATTGATCTAGAAAGTGCTTGATCTAGAAAAAGATTGATCTAGAAAGAGATTGATCTAGAAAGTGGTTGATCTAGAAAGAGCTTGATCTAAAAGAGATTGATCTAGAAAGAGATTGATCTAGAAAGAGATTGATTAAGGTGAAAAGAAAATCAAGGTGTGAACTCAAAATGGAGATGATTTCCCTCGTATTCTAACCGACTCGGTCATCATTGCTCGTTGAAGACCATTTGGAAATATGCGTATAAAGTTAGGATGATTTTTCAAATCTCATACAAAACTCGCTTATAACTTTTTGATATCCAAAAGGTTTATGGCCAAGTTGACAGACTATTAGTACAATTGAACAGTTGTTAAAGTTTCAAATTCACCTTCAGAGCTACAATAAAGCTACAATAAGGTTGAGCTCACTTACCAGTGATCGACCAATTTCTTTTGCTTATTCGTCATTGATTGGAAACTTTTGTCCATAAGCTCTCGTACTTACAAGGGAAAATCAACTAGTACAACTAGTACTTGTACTATCAAGTGAGCAAGGTGGTTAAATGAAATGAGCCATAAACTAGAAACTCGCATAAACTTGACGCAGAATTTTGCGCTGATCCCGAATCTTCTTTCCATTTCTGCTATGCCGAATTCGGCGATCAATTCTGCCAATTCTGCCAATTCTGCGAGCAGGTCAGCGTCGCTCTTAAATATTGCTTCAGATTGAAGCCGGCGTCGGGGTGCCTCCGCCGGTGTCCGAGTCGTGTGTCATCATGACCCATGACCCATACCCATGACCCTCATACCCATACCCATGACCCCTAATAGTTAATAAACTTTTGAAACTATTCTAAACTGGTAAAACTGATAAAACTGATAATAAGGAAAATAGTAAAAAGAAAATCCTCGAATTCGGAAAGGAATTTGGGAGGGATGATGACAGAAGAAAGATGAAAGAATTGAAAAAAAAAGTGATGGACATGATTTGGAAGAGAAAGAAATGAAAGAAATGAAAGAAAATCGAGGAAAAGAGGGGAAGAGATTGTTTGTCGAATCTTCTGTTTCGAGGGGAAAAGCCTTAAGGCTGATGGGAAAATCCCCGTTGAAGGGGAGGACAGGGTAATCGCTGAGGAATCGATCAGACGTCAGCTTTAGCTTAGAATTATGACAGTCGACTCTCTCTATGATTGAAGAGACGAGAAAAAATGTTTCCGTTATATAGAGCTTTCGTTCTATAGAGTTTTATATAGCTTAGTGTCGACCGGGACGAAAATTGCATTTCGTTGTATAGAGTGTTTTGAACAAGTACTTCTGTCAAGTACAACTACGTACGAGTACAAGTACAAGAACAAGTACAACTAGTACAAGTACAAGTACAAGAACAAGTACAACTAGTACAAGTACAGCTAGTACAAGTACAGCTAGTACAAGTACAGCTAGTAGAAGTACAAGAACAAGTACAACTAGTACAAGTACAACAAGAACAAGTACAACTAGTACAAGTACAAGAGCAAGTACAACTAGTACAAGTACTGAGTACTGGACAATGAAATATCATTATTGAGTACTGGACAATGAGCCTAAGCCTAAGCGTCAAAAATACCGTATTTCAAAATATTAATATTATCATTGTGTAGCCCTCAAAAAGAGCTTTCAGGAAAATGTATAACACTGACAATGGAGACAAATGACAATGGAGTTACAGCGCGGAAAGTGACGATCGTTTTTCAAATATGATATTTCATTTTCCAGTACTTTATATAGAGTTTCTTTATAGATAGAGAGTCAAATTTTATGATAAAATCAACGATCTAAAGCTTTTTGTTTAATAAATCCATCTCTGAGTCATGCTAAAACATTTTTAGTTAAGGAGAAAACGGAAATCCTTCGGTCGTTTTGCCAAAATTTATTTTGAACTTTAGAAATCGATAAAGTTCAAAAGGAATTTCAAAACTATTTTCTTTATTCAATCAATCAAATAATCAAAATCAATGAAATAATCAAGAAGTAAAGATATTAGAGTTTGAATAAATGAATTCTGAGATCTCTTGATCTCTTGAAGATCTCTTGAATGAGATGGGATCGCTGGGAAATCCGGAAGGATAAGGGAAATCTTTCTCAAAGAGTTGCAAATCCGAAAGGATATGGAAAATCCTTCTCAAAGAGTTGCAAATCCAAAAAAGCACCTTTTCTCAAAGTTTTGCTTATTTGAAAAAACAAAAAATGCTAGCATTCTCAAATTCGTTAAAACCTACTTTTTAGAAAATCAATAAATCTTTAAATGATAAAATTTAAGGGTAATTTAATTGAAGCACTAGTTATTTATGAAAAGAGCAAAGAGAAAGTGATACAAGGCAGAGAAACTCAACAAATAATACTCTAATCTAAATGCTTCAATTTACCCAAGAAAAGCTCGGGGGCACTCCCATCACTCGAGAGAAAGATTGGAGACAAGTTGGTGGTGACAGTCCCGATGTCCCATCAGGATATGGACAACGGACCAAGGAACGGAACTCGACGACAAAGCTCAAGCCTCCGACTCTGCACTTTCAACGCCAGGACAGCCGCCTCGCAAGACGATAAGACATCCATGAGATGAGCAAGAAGATCAAATTAGACAGCACCGCCCTTCAAGAAAAGGTCAAAGATGACTACACGAAGACACAGGCGAACGGCGACCTGCTCATACTCGGCCACAAAGTCACCAACAAGAACATCGGAGGAGTAGGCTTCCTCGTCAACAAGGACATCGTGCCCCTCGTTGATAGCGATGAGATCATCTCTCCACGACTCGCAGTCCTCCACCTCAAGCCATCGAGAAACCAGAGCTTTTCTTGGGTAAATTGAAGCATTTAGATTCGAGTATTATTTGTTGAGTTTCTCTGCCTGCATCACTTTCTCTTTGCTCTTTTCATAAACAACGATGTCCTTGTTGACCAGAAAGCCTACTCCTCCGAAATCGCCGTCTACAGCTGCTACGCTACCTCCGAAGCCGAGGAAGACGAACGAGAACGAGAACGAGAACGAACGAGAAGACGAAGCCTTCTACGAAGACCTCGATGCAACACTCAAGACAGGAGCTTTTAGAAAATCAATAAATCTTTTAAATGGTAAAATTTAAGGGAATTCTAAAAGAAGCACTTGAAAGATGAAAGAAAAGAAGTTGTTTATGAAAAGAGCAAAGAGAAAGTGATACAAGGCAGAGAAAGTCAACAAATAATACTCGAATCTAAATGCTTAGTTACCCAAGAAAAGCTCGGGGCACTCCCATCACCTCGAGAGAAAGATCGGAGACAAGTTGGTGGTGACAGTCCCGATGTGGACGGTCCTCCTTGTTCCAATCCTGGGTGTCAATTGTGCGAGAATCAACAAGAGAACGAGAACAAGAGAACGAGAACAAGAGAACGAGAAAAGAGAACGAGAACAAGAGAACGAGAACA